CCCCAAAACCCCAAAACCCCAAAACCCCAAAACCCCAGGACTATAAATTTTAGAACATTTTTAAGAGTTTATCATCAATGGGTGGAATTTCCTCAGTAAACAACAAGAACGGATCAACAATGGTTAAATCTGCACCTCAAGATACTTTAGAGTTGAAAGCGAGGTTTCAAATTGATCTAAGTTTCATTCAAAGGTAAGATAACCTCTTGTCAATTTGGTATGACAATACGACAAACATTGATTCTAATTGGAGAAATCTAGAATCAAAAAGTGAAAAATCTACTATGAAGTGAAGTATGGCAACCAAGTCAAAGAGTGGTCTGAGACTTCACAGCATGCTTTTAAGAAATCAGAGGAAGCATTTGTCTTTAAATATGATATCTCACAAAGAAATCAGCAGATCCAGCTTAAGGTCGGAATTGATTCGACTGGAGAGACTAACTCAAACCAGACAAAATACGACCCAAGCTTTTACGACACAAATCTGTACTGTGTAAATGCTAATTTCTCCGTCTTGGATTGCCTCCTTCTCAAAGGTAAGACTTCTTCAGAAATATGACCTAAATATCTAGGTGGTTTTCAAAAAGCTCAGAGTGTCGGAACAAATATTAAATCATGCCAATTTACTTCCAATCAAAGGAAGGAAATCGTAAAAGCAAGCTTGACAGAAAACAAGACCCGAGCAGAAGAAAAATTCGTCTTTAAGATTGCTGGAACTTTTAAATGCAATGAGTCTATCTATGTCTCTTGATATAACTATGTAAAACAACAGAGAAATCAACTTTTTACAACAAAGCTTTCAGATAAGAGCCATGACTCCAAGAAGAAATGAGTCTTTTATTTTGAGCCGATTCAGCTGTTCTCTGCACAGTTTGACGGTCCTTTTGAAGACCAAGATGTCTGCTTTGAGTTCATCTCAGTGAAAGATGTAAATAACCATGAAGTATGAGAAACTGTGTTAGGATCTGCTTCATTAAATCTCGCTCCAATTCTCCAATTGGACGAAGGATCTCTTCTCCAACTCAAAATTTTTAATGACAGGGAAGAATCAATTGGGAAAATTCACTTTGGTTCTCCAAAGGTCAGGCCTATTTACTCCTTCCTTGACTATAAGATCAACTTGAACATCAATTTCATCCCTATAATTGCTCTAGATTTCTCCCTAAGCAATGTGATTGATGCTCAAAAAGGAAATAATGTGGTGAACGATTATATACCTGTTATTAATCATATCAGGCATGTATATAAGAACATCTCCAACTTCTGATTAGGATTCGGATTTGGAGCCAAAACTTGCAGTGGGCAAGTCAGAGCTTCAGACATCTTCTCCCTCTCAGGCAACATGTTCGACCCGACCATAGACTACAATAAGGTGCTTAAATGCTTTAAAGAAGTGGAATCGCAAGTAGAGAAATCCTTTCCTGTTAAATTTGCTCCGATTCTTGAGCATGCGACTAGTTATGCTAAGCATGAATCTGGAAATAATCAAAACAGAAACTACTATTGCTTGCACTACATTACACCTGGAGTGATAGACGATGCTCACGAGACTGCAGAAATTCTTCAAGAGATCTACGATTTACCGATGACTATGAATATTATAAAACTCCATAATCCATCTTATGGTGACACTAATGATGCTAATGTAATATTGGAGGAATTTGAAGCCAACAAAGAGGAAGGAAAGAGAAACCCTCTTCACGTAATTGACTACCAAAGTTATAAAGAGAGTAACAGATTTGAAGACTTTGAAAAGAAACTCATCATGAATCTTCCTGAGCATGTTGGTAAGTTATCGTTTTTCTTAACCATCTAGGCCAATATTATGAATCCCATCAATCTTTCTGTCAAGAATCTGAAAAGAGCCTGGAGAATACACGTCTGGTCCAAAGCATGCCGGTCAAGGCATTCTCAGATGAGTTCAACAACATGAACCCAGAGGATAGCGATGATGAGTTAGAAGAGAACAAAGGTGGTCTTGTTAAGCTTCCTAAAAAGAAAAGACAAAGGTTTAAATCCGAAACGGTAGATATCATCCCAATTAATCAAAAGAGGCTATCCTATTCCCAAAAGCAAGAGGAATACTTTATTGCATCATTCCCTGTAGATTGAAAGATTACGAGGAGCAAACTTGAAGATTTCGTACATAGAGGCATCATCATGGATGAGTCTCCTGAATATGTCGAGTATCTGTACAGGAAAGAACGGATGCAGTATAATACTTCTATAATTAATTCATAATAATTTCAACGCTATTTGATATTTTAGGGGTTTTGGGGTTTTGGGGTTTTGGGGTTTTGGGG